GAGAGGCTGCCTGCATTCTGCTGGCTGGACTGAAAATGGCAGTATCTGAATAATTTTAGACGTATCCAAAAAGAATTTGTTCAGTTGGTAGGTAGTGGTTAAGCTCTGTAATAGCCTTGTTTGCACCGTATTTCCTGTAATAGTAATGTAAGAGAGTACTAGTTTAAATCAAGTTAATTCTGTGCAATATAGTCATTTTAAATGACTCAGAATAATTCAGAATTACTTTGTCAAGATACTATGAGAAGGCTGTGAGCTTCATCACATCGGGAGGCACCATTTCTAGACATCACAGGGTGTGAAGGCATGAGTCGTGCCTCCTTTTATTTGGATGTCACCTTGTCCCGCTTGTGCTCTCCTGTACAGAACCGGTTTTGGACCAGCTCGCTGTCTTTTCTGTACTGCATAGAAGTGGGGTTTGCTCCAGTCCTTCTTGGTTCTCCAGGTTGCAAAGACAGGCCTGCTGGTGAAAACTGCCATTTTTTCTAAACATTTTTCTAGAGAAGAGCTGTTACTAAACTGTGTTGGAAGTTTTAATATCATTCTACTTGTCGTTCATATTTTTGTATTAATAACGATTAATAAATTATGTGCTTTTGTATGCTCTTTTTAACTTTAGGCTACTATGATCAGGGATAGCATAATTTTCTTCAGAATCAACACTTTTTTGCCAGGTCTAACAAAGCATTGGCTGAGTCTCTGGATAAAGCAAATGACCCGTCGGATCCAATTGTAAATACACTGTTGCGATCTATGGCCACTCACGCGATGTCTAACGCGTTGTACTTCTCAACTGGCTCTTGTCCTGAGGAAGAGTTTCACCATTATGGTATCTTGTCGCTTTATTCTTTACGCTATTCCCATTATTATTTCTGACCTGTTGGGGGGGAGGCAGCTGATGGCTTTGATTGCTTATCACCGCTTCCTTTTATTTGTAGGACTGGCCTTAGAGAAGTACACTCATTTCACGTCTCCAATTAGAAGATACGCTGATATTGTTGTCCACAGACTCTTGATGGCAGCGACTCTACAGGAAACTAAAGGAGATGTTAAGGATTGTGTATTGAGTAATAAGGATCTTGAGGAATTGTGCAGACACATTAATAACAGAAACCGGGTAAGGTGGCCATCATGTGTGTCTCCGTACGTTTGTATGCTGCCCAACGGAATGGGATACCAGCCCTGACTACGGCTTTTGGGTACTATGACATAGTATCACTTCATTTTATTTATAATGCTTTGGGGTTTTTTACTTAAATACCAGTTTTCTTCTGAGAGTGGTAGTAAAAGTGACTTCATACTTCACCTGTACTACATATAGGATTTCCTTTTAGATGTAAGTTTTCTAGGGGACAGGTAATGGGAAGAAGAAACTATAAAAATCAAAGTTGAACAAGCTCATTGAAATACTTATTTAGGTTGTTTTGTCTTCTCTTTTTATGGGGGGTGCTTGCAGGCAGCCCAGCGTGCTCAGAAACAGTCTACTGAACTCTTCCAGTGCATGTACTTCAAAGACAAAACCCCAGAAACTGATGAGCGCTGCATAGCAGATGGTGTTATTTACTCAATTCGAACAAATGGCGTGCTTGTTTTTGTACCAAGGTGAGTTGATTAGAGCTTGGACTGAGCTTAAGAATAAGACTTCAGTGTTACTAGAATGCCGTGAGGGCACCTCTGGTCCTTGAGAAGGGAAGCGTTTATAGCGTGGCCTGGTGTTTACCGATGACTGCGTTTTAGATTTTTGTTCTAAATCAGCAGCAGTGCTTTTCTACGCATTGACTCTGAACAGGAGTTCCTATGAGGACATGGTAAGACTGTGCTGCACAGTATGGATTCATTTCAGAATATTAAAAGCAGCTGCTAGGGCAAAACAATGTCTGGAATATTTTTTCCCCCTTTTTTTTTTTTAACCACAGAAAGCAATTAGTTACTTAAAGAAAGGGCAGTTTTAAATTTCCAAATCCCAAAACCATGCATTCCTCTGTGCTCTTTTCCTTTGCTACAGACTGCAGTTTCTGCAGGCTGGGAGCACATTGTGAACAGCTACTCCTCGTAGGCAGCAGGGAAGCACGGAAGGATGTTTACACAATGCTGTTTATAGCAGTTGGGCTTTTGTAAGTGCCTGTATCTCAGCTCTGCCTCTGATTTATCCGAGTAGAAAGCAACTCTGCATGAAGCTAACTTTTTAACTTCTGAGCTTTTAAATCTGTATGTCAAAGTATACTAAATGTGTTCTGCTTATGTTGTAAATCAACTAGTGAGTGACATAAGAAGGCGCTAGTTGCCATAGAACTGGGGAGCAGTGCCCCTCCTAAGACTTGGCCAGCAATTCAAGCTGGGGGGAAGAGAGCTACCTTTCCTCTCCCTTACTGGCTCTGGACATTTTGGATTAGTTACTGAGCTTCATGTTTGTGCATTACTGGTAGCAACACTATCTACCTGGCTAGCTAACAGGTACAAGAAACATAGGCATAAGAACTCTCCTTAAAAAAAAAAACAAAAAAACCCAAAAAAAAAACCAACAAAAAAAACCCAAAACACCCAAACAAAACCCAGAAAACATTCTGCAGGCCTGTTAGGTCAAGCAAACCATTACATGAATAGCCTGGACTTCCATGAACACAGCCAGGGGCTGCTTGATCCTGAGACTGAGCTCAGAAACCAGCTCGAGGTAGGCCTGTTGTCTCCAGCGTTCCAGATGGCTTGGCTTGGCTGCGTGGCTGAGGAGCCAGAACCCGCCCAACCAAGAAAGGCTCCTTCCAGAGAAGCCGGTACAAATCCGCTGCTGGTCTTTAACTTCTTTTTAACAGAACTGTTTCCTCACCGTGCCATCTGGAATAACTTGTAATGCTGCTCTCCTTCCATTATCCGGCCATTCCAGGCTCCACCCAACACGTAAGATAATGGATCACTGACTATTTTACTTTTGCTTCGCTGCTTTTGAAATACTTCAGTCACTGTCTTCCTGCTGTTTTCGTAGACTCTAGGGGTTTCTTTGACAACACACGTCGGTGTCCCCGAAGCAGGATTATCAGGCTACAAGTGTTTGCCCCTTTATGTTGCTTTTATATAATCCTAGCAAGCCACCTGTCGGTTTCAAAATTAAGAGAACTGATCAGGGTGAATGTTGTTAGAACAGCTTCTGTCTGCTCATCTGCTTTTTTTTATAGATACGGAATCAAAGGTGCTGCATATATGAAAAACAAAGAAGGTTTAGTCATCTCTTGTCAAGGTGATAGGAGCTGTGAGTGGAAACCCGGATCACTTCATCGCTTTCAGAATAAAATTACTTCCACTACAACTACTGGCGAATCAGTTACATTAAGCCTTTTCGATCATATTACAGTGAGTATTTAATCTGAAGGAAGTAAAGGGAAACAGCACCATCAGAAATAAAATAATATGTATATTGCTTTTAAGGTGAAAATACTCGTGCAGACATCCCGCTGCCATGCTGACACGATCAAGCTTGAAATAATCAGGAACGCACCGTACCAGACTTCAGACACAGAGGTTCCCCAGAAGAATTTTCATGTGGTGAAATCCGACTTGGTAAAAGAAGTCAGTCAGTCTGCAGAAGCAGCCCAGCGTGCCCAAGAAAAAGCAAGAGTTGAAGTAATTGATGCAGACTATCAGGAGTACTGCCAGACCAAGGGAGCAAGCTTGTACCAGCTGCTGGAGGAGATCAGGGACTTGGCACTATTGGATGTTTCAGCTGACATTAGAACTTGAACTGTGACCTAGCAACATCTGCTTGCTGATGTTCTGCTCCTGTTCGCTTTGTATGATTAAGGGTTTTTTTAAAAAGCAGTCTATTTAAATATTCAAGAGTCCTTTTAATAAGTAATGAAATGTCTATTTTAAATAAGAATTATTTTTATCTGGTTATGAACATGTATGAGTTTTTAAAAGATTTTATACATGATAAATCTCATCTTCCAGACTAAAGACAGTGTGGTGAATTCTTTTAACTATCATTCAAAAAGTTACTTTCCCATGTTGTCTGTAAATTAAGCTCTTAAAACCTAAGCACTTCCTACAGCTGTCGGCTATCTTCCACTATAGCTACAAGGATATAAAAAGCCAACTCCTTCACACTAATCCTGCACAGACACTCTTTGTGCAGCTGAGGGATTTCAATAAACATCTGGCATAAAGTAACACCTGTTGCCATGAACTTACTTCATCTGCTGTAAGTGCTGCTCTTGTCTTAATTCAGTTTCTAGAAAGTCAGTTTCTATTACGAACAACTGTCTACCCTGTGCTCAGTGATTCTTGTTCATTCCACAAAAGGAAAAGCTATTGTGCAAGAAAGAAAAACAAGACTGTAAGAAGAGGATGAAACGGCGCTTCCAGCCAGAGAGCAGAATCAGCCAAAGGAAGGTAACTGATTTGGTCAAAGGCAAAGCATGTTCCCCTACGGGGATGTACTTGTCTGTGAAGAGCTGTCTGATAGCACAAGGGATGTGGAAGTTTGGAGGGCCTGTAGTTTAACAGCCTCATACAACAGCTTCAGGTTTGACTTCTGAAATTTAATAGCTTCCATTTTATAAGACAAGATACAGGTACTTGATCAGCAAAGTTAAAAAAATCCAGGACACCTGTTCAGACATAGCTCTATCTGCTATTATGTGTACCCTCTATTTAAAAAAAACCCACCCAAACAACAACTTTAATAGGAGCTTCACCTGTCAATAGCCCAGTTAACTCAGTTTGATACAATCAATTGTAAACAAAATTCCAGGTAGGTCAAAAACCTCATTAGCATTTCCTAAAGAATGCTGGGGGAGGTGGAAAAGATGTCTCAAATGCAGATGAAGGACTTTGTTCTGCTTTCCGGTGTACGGATTTGCTCATCTGCAGTTTCAAGAGGAGTTCTGTCCAACTATACAGAAGTCATGGTGAAGCCTTCCATGAAGCTTCTGGAGTCAGAGTGCAGAGAGCCAGCAACCTTTCAGTAGAATGAGAATTAAGAAAGTCATTCAAACTATGGGGAACAGTTACTGCTTTTCGCCAGCCTGTTCCCATTCTATATCTCCATCTTCAGCTTCTGTAACAGCAGCCTTGGTTGCAGTAGCTTGAGTGTCGTCAATGAGGTCAGCGGGATCCTGAGCAACGGGGCTATTAAACTCCTCTTCTGAGTAACTAGCAGGGAGCTCTGTTGAAAAATAAAACCAGAACAATTTCCTACCATGAGAAAACACTGTTGCTGTGTGTCTGTCACCAGAATCACAGCCTGCAGGAAAGCCAACTCCAGAGAGCAAGCTGAGTTTCATTTCATCAAAGGCAAAGCTATCACAACTTGGCATGACAACTAGGGAGAGTAGTTCTGACTTAGCTTTGGAGGAGTCTAACTACAGGAACACAGTTTAACTTTGAGAGTTGCACATTTTGCTACTTTGTAGAAAAGCAATCACTACCACTTCCTTTAAGTGACTCAGCAGCTCAGTTGTACAAGCTTCTCAGGCTACCGACCTTAACATTAAGCACTGAAGTTACAGAGTTGATTACCGTTGTGTTGCAACTGGCTGTTACGCTGCATCTTTGCTTGCCTACGTTCCAAGGCCAGCTGCCTGTTCTTCTGGATACGCTGTTGTTGCTCTTCCGTGAGAGTTGTACCAGAGAGAGAATTGACTTCTACGTTTTCAGAGCAGGGACGTACATCTTCAGCAGCTGTAGCCAGTCCGTTGCTTTCCCCTCCGCCATCTGCTTAAAAATGAGGGGGTGCGAGCGGGAAGAGGGGTAGAAATCGACACTTTGAACCCAGAGATATCTACTGCTAAATATCTGTCAAGAGAACATTTTAAAAGCATTTCTATGTTCTACATTTTACAGTTGTATTGACAGCTGAAGATCATTCTGTAATTTAGTTTTAATGGGCAACTTTCTGCCTAGATCTACATACCTGCTATTCAAAGTATACAACAAATGCTTATCAGAGATCCCAAACACACAACGATAATAAATACCTGAACTTAGAGGCAGAGCTCTCTGTACTAAGTTAGCAATCATGAGCTCTGCTTGAAGGTTAAAAAGAGACAGTAAATTCAGGCAATCGTTACTGGAAGGCCAGATAATTTTCTTTCCACCCCTACTAATACGACGCTGTCCTTTGGGAAGCGGCAGGACTAGTCAAGGGAATGGGACGGGTTTGAACATAGGCATTGAACAGTCAGTTTTGAATTCAGTGTGCTACTATTATGGCATATTAACTCCTTTGCCAATGTTAACACATGCAAAACAGAGGCAGTCACACTCTTAGACAAACTTCACCCACCAACAGAGCAGCAGAGCACTCTTTCAAGAGTGCCTAAGGCCAAGTATGCTTGTGCCTCTGCACCACTTTAAGCCTGTGAACAGAGAAGTTAGCTGACAACAAGGTTTTGGTTTTTAATACAATACTCTAGCTACAGTTTTTATTTCAAAACTGTAAGATACCTACTCAAGTTTTTCAACTGGAGACTGACCAGTTGTAGTAGTACACTCGCTAACACGGTTCAAGAACAGATCAGCACCACATTTAAATACAGATGTAGAACAGATCAGCACCGCATTTAAATACAAATGTATGGAACCATCGCACAGAAAAATCTGATAACTCTACAGACACTGTCGGCAGGAACCATTTGCTTTACTGTTTGTGGCTGCTTATGGCTGCATTCCATTTCTAGCAAATGCAGCCAGCAGTGAAGACAGCCACACATCACTAACTGCCCAAAGGTTGTCGCCACAGGGGAGGCAAGGTTTTACCACAGGTTAGCTCATCCACCAGAACACCTTTCCCAAGCACTGGCTTGTCTGGAGGCCGAGGTTCACGTGAAGACAAACTGGACAAGGGGTAGATCATTGTTTCAAGAGAGACTCACAGTCAAAGGGTGAACACCTGCACAGGACCTTAGGAACATCTACGACATCCTCTCATTTCTGCTAATGAAGTTTCTTTCAAACTACCAGGTCAATTCTACTCCCTCTTTTTATTAACAAACAAACAAGTTTACTTCTAGTCTATCTAAAACCATCATCTGATTGGAAGAGACTCTTGAATTATCTACTTGTTAAGCAGCTGGATTTTTATATTGGAAGAAGAAATGCTCAATAGTAGCTACATGCCAAGAGTGACAAACAGACATAACAGTGCCCACAAGCATTAGTAAGTACTTTCCCTATAAAGGACACTACACCCTGACTGCACTGTGACAGCCTGTAGTATAAACAGTATAATAAGTCTTTGATTTCTGCATTAGTAAGATGCAAGAGCCTTTCAGACTGCCCGCTCATAAGAGTACGATACAAACCACTATGTTCACTTAGTAACTGCACTTTTGGGGTTTTTTTGGAAGAACATTTCTAACAGTGCTGGTATAATACCCATTTTCCATTTCCTTTCAGTGTACCACGCACTTACATTTATTTTTTTATACACACACACATATATATATGTAGCATTTGAGTCCAAGTACCAGTTCAGTTTTGTAATAGTAAGTCTCACAGAAGCTTGGTTTTAAAACAGAGGACCACTCAACGACTGCTTCTACATTAGAAAAACATATCATGATCATTAATTTCTGGTCAGTAGGAGGGGAAGTAAAGTAATTTTAACCACCGAACTACTGAACAAACAGCATAATGAGCATACCTTCATTACTTGTGAAGTCTTCATGTAAAATAGGAAGATCAAGTCTAATCCGCTTTAGGCAGGTCTGCAAAGGAGAGATTAAAAAACTGATATTTCACCTGTAACAAAATCTTTTGTGCAACATTGCTATGTTTTTAATACTACTCCCCATTTCTCTTTACACTTTATTACTCTGAAAAAAACACTCCTCTCGCTACACGTCTGTTTGACCCACAACTTCTAACACTGTGGATTGTTTTCCTAGTCCTTCATGTATCACCTAGCCAGATGAAGCAGCATTCTTCGTAAGTCTTCTTTTGCAGGTTCAAACATTAAAAACCCAACCCAACAAAACCCCCAAAACCAACCAGTTCCAGCACTCTTTAGCAAATTACTTTGCTTAAAGATGTCCTGAAGAAGTTGAAGCCAATTCTCTGAAGTACTAATTCAAATAAAGAAAGGTTATATCTAAATGTAAATTTAAATACTTCAGATACTGGAAAAAGCTTTTTTTTAAAAAGAGAGAAATTAATTTAAATAGCATTACACTCCTTAGCAGCACGCACAACTTAAGTCTTCTTTTGTTGCATAGCTGCTCTCCTAAACCTACCTCTTACACTATTGAGTACTGCATGAAAAGAAACCAACAGGAACAATACGTACCTGAACTTCCTTTTTATTTCCCAAAGACTCGACTCTGTCAATAAAATCCTCAAACTGCAATTTTGGAAACAGTCTATGAGCCCAGTGTTCCATGTGTCGTATGAGTGTCTTCAGGTCTTCTGCCTAGAGCATAAAACAAGATATCCAGCTAGTAAAAGTTGACGAAGTCAACAGAGGGAAACATCAGAGTCATATTTCTGAAAATATTAGCATCTGCAGCTTAAAAGTCTCTTGAAAATTTAAGTAATATGAATGCGTGGGTAGCCATTCCTCCCACAATCAAGTCTGTAAGTGCAATTTCAAGCTATCAGAAGAACAGTGATCTGAGTTCAGGAAAAGCATTTGCATATACTGTAAAACATCTGACAGGCTTCTGAGAAGTTGCCCTTAAGCAACCTAGGTCTGAACCCAGACTAAAAAAACCAAAAAACCAGTTCATAGAGGCACAGCTGGCATTGATTTTGGTTTGTTTTGACACACGGAAAAACATACATCTAAATAACCTTATCTAGTCAAGATTTTTGCTCAGATCAGTGGTATTGCCTAGTTCTTCAGTTCCAACTGCCTCCAGTAGTAAAGAGAAAATTTATACCATGAATGTTCTGCATAAACCAGAGATGCACAGGTATCCTTGCAGGCGTGCCAATAGGCTAATGATATTTAAAGAAAAATGAGCTTTGTATGTTTAAGTGTATCCAAAACAATGAGACAGTTTGTAGAGAAAATACTGCTTTCTCTTTGCTTAAGTGGTATGCCACACTTTTTTCAATAGTAAAAACTCTGGGATTGTACTGGGTTTGCGTGGCAAGGTTTTGGTAGCGGGGGGGCTACAGGGGTGGCTTCTGTGAGGAGCTGCTAGAAGCTTCCCCCATGTCTGACAGAGCCAACGCCAGCCGGCTCCAAGATGGACCCACCGCTGGCCAAGGCCAAGCCCATCAGCGACAGTGGTAGTGCCTCTGGGATAATGTATTTAAGAAGGGGAAAAAAAAAAAGTACAAAAACCACAGGGACACAAACTGCAGCTGGAGCGAGGAGTGAAAGTATGCGAGAGGTACGACTCTGCAGACACCAAGGCCAGTGCAGAAGGAGGGCAGGAGGTGCTCCAGGCGCGGAGCAGAGATTCCCCTGCACCCCTGGTGCAGCCCATGGCGAGGCAGCTGTGCCCCTGCACCCATGGAGGCCCACGGGGGAGCAGAGATCCACCTGCACCCAGGGAGGAGCCCACACCGGAGCAGGGGGATGTGCCTGGAGGGGGCTGTGACCCCGGGGGAAGCCCGCGCTGGAGCAGGCTCCTGGCAGGAGCTGTGGCCCCGTGGGGAGAGGAGCCCAGGCTGGAGCAGGTTTGCTGGCAGGGC